CCCTGAACAGTGTAGGAAACAGTGTAGGATTTCTGACCTAGCACTGGATTGTACTACTATTCATTCTGGCAGAGAGGGTATTCCTAAGAGAAAAGACATGCATTTTTATGTCATGTAGAACACCTATACCAGTAACTCACCTACAATGTCCAGAAGCCAAGTTGGAGCTACTACTCCTGTTCTGACCAGGTACCGGAGGTCCAGACAAAAAGAAACAAAACCCACAACTTCTCTGGAGATGCTCTATTCCTTCTTTGTGAATCTGAAATCACATTGCTGCTGTAGCTAGGCATGCAGACCTAAGACACTGTACTCATTTCAGTATTCTTGTTGTAATATTTCTGTTTCTAAGCACACTTATGAAAACTGCATTGCAGTCTTAGAACATAGATGTTCACTGCTGGGCGGTTCCTACTTTCAGAGGAACAGAAAGGATCATTAGCTAAATCTAATCTAATCAAGTTTCCCCCAGGTACTTCATATTAGATTTTTTAAAAAAATTGTTAGACTAAAGCACTTCTGTTCCCAGGGCTCAGACTACTACATCCTGGGGAAACACAGGTCGCAGTGCTTCTGTGAAGACAAAAGAATTTGCTGCTGAGATGCCCTGATGATCCTGGCCCACAGAGCAAAATCTCTGTCCACTGCCACCAAGATTCTGTCGCTCAGAGGAAAATACTTTCCTCACCCTGAACATTTTTTTTTTAAATGTCTTAATAAAATATTTTCCTGCCAAAAGAAAATGAATTTAATTTCTAAATCTCCAAGAAACACCAAGGCTACATATGGAATATTACATAAACGTTTATTTATCATCATAGCCAGGAATCTGAATTCAATTAAATTTGTTAAACCTCAACTTCCAAGTACTAGTCCTTCTTATGCTTTTACCAGAAAAAAGACTGTAAATACCCTGTTGTTACCTTCTCCATGTGTAAGCACATAAATGCAGTAATCAAGTCACCTCATGCTTCTCTAATAAATGTGAACACTAAACTGAACAGGATGGTATCTGGACAACATTTTGACCAGAGACTGATGCTAGCTGTGTCTGGCATGGGGATATTGGTAACTGTAAATACAGAGATTATGGGGCTGAAAGTATTGCCTGTCTTGCAAATCTATTCCTCTATTTATGACTTTGAGGGCTGGAGCTGACTGTTTAATAAGAACATCGCATCCACAAGAGCTGACCGGGGTTGTACGAGAGAAACAAATTTCTGTCAGGAAACACTTTTTCAAAACTGAAATGTTTTGTAAATACATTTTAGCTGAAAAAAAATTCCACTGAGTTTTGAGACCAGAAGGGTCTCAAAGACCTTCCTAGAAGGGCTCTTGAGGAACCAATGACCCAAACATATGCATTAAGAAGGCAGCTCAGATCTGCTGACTCTAGAACTTCCCGACTGCTCCTGGCTGCCTGATGGTCTATGCAGGTAAGAGAACTTCCCATTGGGATTAAGGGATTGGCTCAAGAATTGTGGATAAACCCCACTGGAAAATAACTACAGTACAAACCCCACCTTGTGCTCCAAGGGCAAGACAAATTTTTAACCTTGCTTCTTCACAATACATAGGTAACAACCTAGCTATCCATACAATCTAATTCTCAAAAAATCCTGCCAAAACAAGCCGATTCACTTCACACACTTCTTGCTTTGCAGAAGAGATAAACTCTATGTGAGGGACAGTAGTCACAATGCTTAATGTGCTCCAAATATTTTGTGTTAAAAAATAGAGAAAATGTGATTAGCTGGAGAAAAAAATGTAACTAAGTAAGATTAAGAAGCTATTCAAAATTACTGAAGTCTTCAACCACATGATGAAAACAGCCTTTTTATTTTTTTTTTTTCATTTAGAAGGCATGCTTGGCTTCAGTAGGTTATCAAGAAAGCATCGTAGGGACCCAGCAATGGATTTCTTAACAACTTCACTGTTCTGTTTCACTTTCCTAAAGACATGTTTAAAAATGCAGTTCCAATTCCATCAATGCCCACTTTAAATTATAAGTCAATATATTAATTTTTTAAACTCGGGTGTCATACCATAAGAGATCTTAAGGAGTTACTACACCCAGGAAATGCCAAGCAGGTAGTGTGAAGTAAATGTAATTCCTTAGGAGGTTCACTGTGACTGATGCAATAGCAGTTCCCAAATCTATTAATTAGTATTCGACAATGCTAGAAATAGCGTAATGGAGAAGACCACCCACTAGCTTGTCCAGAGAAATCAGAGGGGACAGTTTGGTTTGTGATGGTTGGAGAAGCTTAAAAAGAAAGTAACCAAGGGTCAGGTGTCATACTGGGCACTGATTTCAGAGTCCCATGCATTTGGCCATTACTGCCTGTGCACTGTAAGACTGAGTAAGAGGCATCTGCATGGAGCAGCTCCTGCTGTGTCTAAGCTAGAGCTAGACATGCAAGCCTTTTACAGTATCTGGATTCATTTCAGACTGGAAAGAGAACTACATGCTAAGAGTTATTTCCAGCTCATAATTACACATTATGAAGTTTTTCACATTGGAGATATGTGGCAAATGCAGATTTATTAAATTGCAGTCATACAAAGTTCCAGAGCATAAGTCTAAGCTATCTTATCGTTTCTAATTAGTTGAGAAATTCAGTATGTCAACTGCTGTATCACAAGTGAAATCTGACTCATTCACTCAGTGCTAAGATGAAATACATTCATATGGGAGGCTATTTTTAATATCAAATTATTAGCTGTGCCTTGAGTTAATTTCCTTACATGATTTTGTATATGTGAAAGTGTTTCAGCTGTTTAACCTTCTCTCTTTCCATCTATGCTTTTCAAGAGCCATTCTTCAAACTGTGAGAGGATTTTTTTAAAATTCAATTCAGTATGCGGATAACTTCAAGTCAGAGACAGACAAGTTCTAAGGCTAACCCCACCTAAAATAAAGGAGAAATCTGGCTGATTTCGGTGGACTCTGAATTAGACATTTTGTTAGGTCAAATCTGGGGCTAAACTACAGACAGCTATTGCTTTGTTAAACAAGCAACTCTCCTATTAATGAAAGCATTTAAAACACTTCCAGCATTCTTTAGTTTCCTGAAAAGCCCTAGACATTGCTTAAAACTAAAAATACATAGCAACCATCTTTACAGGGATCTTTGCTTTGGATGAGGGACTAGTAGTTGCCCAGTCATTGTTTACCAGCCTGCTATAGAAAATTGCCTGTTGATCTTTGAATTTAATTGCCTTGCAGATCTTTGGTTCTGATGCCTGCTCATGAAAACAATAGTAATGTGGTCTTAGATTGGCAAAGACCACATCTTCATAAAGCCATAGATGTGTTCTGCACATAAAGTGCATGATGTCTCGAACCCCCTTAGAAATCCAAACAAGAAAGAAAATGCTTCATTTTAAATGCAATTGTTACAAATGCAGTTATAATGCTGTAAGTCCCAATCTCTGTCCCCACTGCAAACCTATAAGTGCACTGATATCCAAGACTTCTCAAATTACATCAGGGTAATCAATATCAAAAAGCACATCTATTAACAATTACTGATACATTTCTCCTAAGATATTAAGACAAAATTCAGGAGAGGATCATACTCTCATGGAATAAGACTGAGGTAATGGCTGCATTCCACTGAAGTCACTCCAAAGTTGTCAGCTAACATTTCCCAAAGAAGTGAAAACAAGATTCTTCTTGTGTATTTAGTGATCCATCGTATAAAGTTGAATGGGGTGGGGAAAAAAAGCTCTGTAGGAAGATGACCATCTTTTGTTACATTCTGGTGGATCAGGTTGATAGACAACAACTGACTTCACCCATTTTTAGTTTTATATGGTATTTACATCATCCGTTCAGACATAAAATGCCTTTTGCCTTAAGGACATTTTACAGGCCACATGAGGATCCACATTACCTATAAGCATAACTGATCCACTTTTAAGAGAATTCCCCAAATGCTTCCTGTCTCAGACTGTGGCATAGCACCCAAAAGAGCTGCTAAAATGCTAGTGTCCTACCAAGAAAGGTGTTCTCAAGCCATGGTGACAGGTCGTTGATTTTTGTCACTACTTACTGCTGCAGAAAAATTTTAACTTAAACACTTTGATGGCAGTGATAAGAACATACAGAGGTGGGTTTGTGTTCCTGTCAATGGTAGTAAATAATAAACTGGAAAAAAATTGACTTCACTTGGTTGAAACCTTCCACGTAGTAACAATAAAAGAATCCTGAACTGCTTCACTACTGTGAGCAAGCCCTAGTTCAGTTATAGTCCTACATATTGTCATCAGGATCAGTAAGATTATCAAATAATCACTAGCTCTTTATTTGTGCCCTCTGCATGATCTGTTTTTAGTAGTACTGTGTGGAAGCATATCTCGACTAGACAGACGTGTTAAAGAGAGGGAGTCTTATTTCTAGTTACAATAGTAAAATACTTTTTGAAGCACATAGCAGCAACATACCTCTGGTTTAATATCTAATGATATGCACCCCATATTCTCATGTACTGTTTATGGAAGCCTACGCCAAGAAAATATGGAATTGTGAACCAAAAACTGTATAGTGTCATTCAGAATAAAATCTCATGGTATAAACATATTTAAATATAATCCATTACGTTTTTTCATTGTTTTTCTTCCTTAGCTTAATAAATTACCTACATCTCTTCATTTTTTCCACAGTGTTTGCTTAACAGAGGATACATAAGCTTCTTTTTGTTAAGCAGAAAAAAACCTTCTTTTCTTTGTGCTATGTTACATAAAATTCTATATAATCTCTTTATAGAATGAAAACCAGCAATTTCTGGGTCTCGAGCATGGATATACAGAAGTCAGTGAATAACTATCAGAGTTTTAAAATGCATTCAAAATGCAGATCTCTGACATCAGTAAAAAAGCCCCAAAACAACACATCACCTAAATTACCTCACAGCTATTTGCATAAAGGGTCCAGAGGCAGTACACTATAAGTACGGAGACACAAGCCATCCAAAGAGAACTTAGCAACAGTTCTATTAGATACTCTGTGTGTCTGTAGCAGAAACAGGGCAACTTTTAAGCTCAGATGTGCAAACAGCTTTAAAGGACTGAACAATCTCTTGGCAGATGCATCAAGCAAAAATCTGAAACTACAAACCAGGTAATTTACCAAATAATTTATTTTTCAGCTGATTCTAACTTTCCTTCTAAAGACTGCTCTGAGCCAAATAACCTATCTGATATTCTTACTGCTGTTATCCAAGGACTTCATCAGAAGTGACAGAAATCTGCCAATAGGAGAGGTAATAAATTCATTCTCTATTTTAAAAATTTGCAGAACTTTGTAAAATTGTGTATTTCTTTTATGTTCTGAAGATAGAATTAAGCTAAATGAGTGCTATACTAGTATTAAAGATATATTCCATTCTATAGAAGGAACTCTGCTTACTAGAAAGTAAATCCATGACAAGTGCATTAGGAATTCCAGCACTAGCCAGAAGAAATAGAAAACCCACTTGTTATCTGGGCAAGAGGTAATAGAAAATACGATTATTATTATGTCCCTGAAAAAAATATAAGATGCTTCCCCAATGCAAGAAGTCTCCCTGACCAACGGAGTATAACTACCTTATTATATTGACAAATATACACACAGCTACTTTAAATATATAGAAATAGATATTAAAAAACTAATGGACTGTTAAAGTTGAGCTTTAACTAAAGGTAGAATGAAAGTTCTGCAAATCCCAGTATTATTTTAAAATGAACGCTTAGCAAAGGGAGTTGTCTGGTGGAGACTGTTAGTGCAGGTATATGTGTGTGTACCTTGTGTGGGGCAACAGTTAACAGAGTTCAGAGGGAAATTATTTTTGCCTCTTGGCAGAAGGCAAAGCAAAATCACTGGCTTTCAGAACTATCTGTGCATCAGGAAGTTAGGTGATCAAAATGCTCATATTTATTCTGCCAGAAAAATGAGCAAGTGCCTGCTTTTAATTATGAAGAATTATAGATTCTTTGAAGAATACCAAATAAACTGAGAGATTAGTAACAGAAATGCAGAAGGACCCTCATAAGAGACTTCAATCCCTACAGCAGTGCCATATTTCTTTTTCAGTGTCTGGAAACATGGCTATTATTCCTAGGTTGGTTTGTTCCACCCTTCTCCCTTGTTGTGCTCTCTCCCATGGAAGTTGCAGGAACCCTTGTCCCAAAATGCCATCTATCCAGATGCCACTGCTACTGCTCTGCCTGACCTTGTGTGGTGTTTACCTCAATACGGGGCAGCCCCTTCCAGAGAGAAGTGAGAACATGCGAAGAGGTCCCCTGGATGACATCCTGCAGAGATCCGAAAGCCTTATTCTTCAGTCTGTCTTCAAGAAAGCTGAAAAGGAAAAAGAGATGAATAAAGGTATATACAACACTGGGGACATCCATCTGGCGATGCTGGCGTAGTACTTGGCTGAGATCATTAGATCCAATGTATAGTTTCCAGGTTCTAATGTATATATTTATTTAACTAAGGGGAGGGGAAGGACGGGAAGTCTGCAGCAAGTCACTGACACAGATTTCTCAAAAGGCTCTTTCTTCTCTAAGATCTCCCTGCTTAGGCAGTGCTGTACCATCACTAAGCAGCACATAGATGCCTGCCACTAACAAGGAGCACAGAGCCCTTTCAGAGTGGAAAGAGGAGCTGGCATCAAGTGCCTATAGAAAAAGCTTTCCTCCCTCTTCATATGATTGCTGAGAGTTGGTCATGTCAATCCAAGACCTGAAATATTAAAAAGAACTTAAGAATGAGTAAGAGATACTAATAGAGTTCTGACTGATAGCTGGAAATACTGAGCTGGCTTTCAAATGTCAACACCCCTGCTTCTACTTGTGTGTCAGCCCTATGCCTTCCCTGTCTCATGCTGATTCCCAGCTCTTCCCCATACCCAGCTTCTGCAGCTTTCTTCCAGCTGCTCAGCATCTTTTACTCAGCTCCCTTTACCTGAATCTGAGCCATTTACCTGAATCAACACATTAGGCTTTGTCACTGCATGTCTTCCCACTTGGCTTCAGATAGTTCCTAATGTATCAATCCATCCTTGATAAAAACATGTCAGAATTGTTTTGACAGATGCCATCCAGACTGATCAAAGTCAAGACCATACAGTTAACTGTGCAATTAAATGGGCATAATGAGCAACAGATTATGATCCTGAACCACAAATTCCCATTTCACCTTCCTTAGTGAGGATTATGGGGGCTCATTAACATTATTCTTTTCTTTGGACAGAATCAAATGCCCCTCTGCAAGAACGGCTTTCCAAAAGACAACACCCTTGGAAAAAGTACCTAAGTGACCTGGAGAAGAGACAGCACCCTGGAAAAAGAGATGTTGAGGAAGATGCATCTTTTGGAGACATTCAGAAGAGGCAGCATCCAGGGAAAAGAGAAATAGAAGATGACCTTGGCAACTATCTGGAGCTGAAAAAGCAACAGCATCCTGGCAGAAGGTCATTGTCAGATCAGTATGCTGATATCCCTAATGCACAGCTAACCTACTTGAAAGAGTTATCCAAAAGACAGCATCCAGGCAGAAGGTATCTGATGTACAAGCATCCTAGTAAAAGAGGCTGGAATGATGAGGTAGACCTAAATGACCAACATGGTGAGAAACGCCAGCACCCTGGAAAAAGACACTTGAATTCTGACAGCACAGATGATGCAGGCCTCTGTAACTTTCAGGAGTCCTTCCCCTGTAACAAAGGCAGCTTGCTGCTTGATTTAGTAGAAGATGTTAGCAAAGACAGGGTAGAAGAAAAACGTCAGCACCCAGGAAAGAGATCAGCATGGGACAGTGAAACAGAGGAATGATAAAATAATTGTGTATCATTTGCATTTGGTAAACTGCCAGATCACTAAAAAATTCTGTTCACTCCCATCTGGCTTCCTGCTGCTGACCGCTATACCTATCTTTCAGTGCATTAATGTTCCCATTTAAGTTAATGGCTTTATCACACACTTAGAGTAAAGGAACTAAAGGACCCAGTTGAACGGGACAGGCAAGTACTGAGAGTCAACTCCCACACTTTAGGAAGTTAAGAGTACTCATATCCTTATGGGCCCAGACCCCAGAATAATCACACTATGTGTGTCCAATTTTCTTTTCCCAAATGACTAAAATGGGCTCTTAAATATCTGTTCTGATGCTACTAAATTGGAATAATTATATGGTTTCCTCTCACGTCAGTGAAATAAGTAAATTAATAGAGAAGGAGAAAAAAGAACAACATATGCCAATTATTTCAGAATGAAATTGAATAGGTTGTCGATTCTAAATTATACATTAAAGAGACCTGAACCCTTGCACAATAAAATCTTTCCAGACAGTAAGCACGAAACAGAGATAGGAACTGTTCTAACTGGAACAGACTAGATGACTGACTTCATAGTTTGCCCTGGAACTGGCACATAAAACCCCTTTTAATCCGAGAGGCTGAACAGTGCAAAGGGTTAATGCATCCCAGGCCATTTAAACCACAAGTTGTGAACCTGACTGCGTACACCCCATACTAGAACTCCCACCCTGGTGCATCTGCATTTCAGTCACGCGACTTGAAATCATGCCTTTTCCTCAGACATCCTTAAAAAATTCCCCAAAAAGGAAACAAGCAGACATCCTTTTCTTCCAGTAAGGATTCATGATTTCTCTCCCCTCAAATGAATGCTTTTACTTTCTGTGATCAGACTCCAAAAGTGTTTATATGATATGAATGATTCAATAAACGTCAATAGTCAACTCTGGGTGTCCTTACTGGATGTGCAAACATAATGTAATAGAATGAAAAACATAAAACCAACCCAAGCTACATACAAATAAATAAACATCAAAAGGTATTTTTCTAGGCACTATTCTCTTACATGCTGGTGGTCAGCACATGTTTATACGTAAAACTGTTTTGCTACTGAAGTGGAAGATGATTTGCATATGGAAAGATTCCCTTTTTAAATCTTCTACCTGTATGACAAGAAAATTATTCATCTGGACTAAACCCACAGCAACCTTGTCACCTAGTTCACAGGGAACTTCACTAGAAGTCTGATTTCCTGTTCACAGGTCTAAACAACGGATTTACTGATTTTGCAATTAATGCAGTTATTGAATGCACTGAGTTATTCATGTAACTTCTTGTACATGCAAAGAAGTTAGAACATGTCAATATTTCGCTAGAATGTTATTTTTAAAAAACAAATTAGTACATTTTCCGCTGACATTCATCCGTCCCAATACCATCAAGACACATTAAGTGTCTTGAGTGTTCCTTTTAAATATGCCACACCACTCAGTGCCTCAAAGCACTTCCTCAGTTACACTAACTTCATCATATAGTTTAGTTACCCTGAAGAAGAATAATTAATCATCTCAGCAAGTTTCACTGGAGTTAGATGCTTGCAGGCTGATCTACGTTTATCATGGTTTTATCAAGTAATTTCTAACTTTGGGGATAATATGCTGTTTACTGTATGTGACAACTGGCAGACCTCTTCTCTTGACAGGTGTTTTCTAATTAACAAGTACTGAAGAAATCCTCAGAGGAGGTAGATGGGAATATTCCATACACTTCAAATTCTTTCAGCACACTTTCTGCATATGATGCCTTTTGAAATGTTGAGTTTCCATTTTATAAGGGAAAAAAAAAGATTACTCTAAAGAATACCATTTCATATACCATTTCCAGCAATGAATGAATGATTCTCAAACTTCAAGGAACACTACTACACAAGACCACCACCACCTGTTACAAAATGTTCAAAATAAGTGAAAAACAGGAAAGAAAAAATTACCAAGTAGGTATACATGGGCAACAGCAAAAATGCATCACAGCTCCCGCAAGACAAGGATGCTGCTGCGGCTGCTAAAAGAAAATCAAGGTGGGGAAGGGAGAGAAGCATGAAAGCTCAAGGTAAATATTTTCAATGTTCAGCTACAAACAGCTGCTTCAAGCTATTAGGTTTGCCTATAAAATCTACAATTCTGAGTAAATCTCAGATGCCCTTTATTATCACTAAATCAACCACTTATTAAAGAGTGTGCTCCCCTCTCACGGATGCCAATGAAAAGCTAGCATAACTGGTTTTATGTAAGTCTAATTTTTCCATCTTCTGTATTTCAGGTTCTGAATGGTCCTGTGTTTTTAGAGATGCCATGTTCTGCCAGAGGCTAGTCATATGTTTAAAAGCAAGGCTGTTATTACTGCAATTTTAAAAGGAATTATGTCTATTAGTTTTGAGTTGTTTTGCTTTGTTGGGGTTTTCTGTGTTGGGTTTTTTTTGTTTTTTAAAGCCAACCCTGAGCTGATAGCATTTTACAGTAAATCAGATTTATCATATCATTATTATCATGCCTGCAAATTTTAAAATTTGCCTCAGTTTGGAGCTGCTGAAAACGCACTTGCTCAGCTGTGAGAAGCACAACGTAAGCAGATACTGGGAGAGCTCTGATTTAAATTTCTTCAATTACTTTAAAAAATCCACTTTGTTACTACAGCAAAAGAACTCTGGAAAATGACAGAAACACTCTCAAGGATTCCTGCACGGGGGTGGGACCACATGTGAAAGGTCCCCTTCCAAGTTGTATAGGGCAGTAGCCCGTTTAAAGACACAGATTTCCATTCAGAAAAGCACTTGTACTGGTCCTGATGCTGGCCTGACATGTCCATGAACAGAAAACAGTAATTTGGAGACTGAAACACAAGCCAACGTCCTGAGCTTTTGTCAGTGACCGGGGTTTGAAAATCTTAGAAACTCAAAGAGGATGACCCTGAAACCAGAAATGAATACAGGACAACTTCCTGCATTCTATTTCCCATGTACGTAACAGTCAAAACAGCCATCAAATCTGCTACTGAGTCACCTAAAAATGTAATCATCATTGGCAAGTAGCCAGAAAAGTGACAGCCCTGACAGAAATCGCAAGAGGATGAAGTAGGATGCTCTTAACCTTCACAGATATTTGTCTAATTGTAGTTAGCTGTAGTTCTCTTTAATCCTGGGGTACCTGCACCTACATGATTATTTTGATTATGCCAAACATGGTTCATGGAGCTATGTTATCTGTGGAATGACTTGGACACAGAGCTATGAGTGCCACCTAGAAAAGAGTAAAATTTTGCAGATAGGTTAGAACTTGTACCTGGTGGGCATCCGACAACCTTATTTAATCCCATGCATTTTTTGAAACACACAACCATTTACAAAAAGGAAACGGAAATCCTGGTTTTCTCCATCTTATATTAAATTTTCCCTTTAAAAGTTTCAAAAGCTATCATTTACTTTCAATGGAGAAAATTACTCAGTCATTCTATTACTTGCATAGAAGACTGTCACTCAAGAAAATGGAAGGGAGGGTTTTCACTGGGGAAAAAGAACACATATTTTAAGAGTTCTTCTACTTCTTTTTTTAAGTAACTCAAAACAATATTTCAATTTTGCCAACAAAATCTGTCCATATTTTTTTTTGATTGAAAGTACATTTTCTCTCAGTATCTGCATGAAAATTTCACCTCTCAGTTAATTTCTGCCTGTCTTCTGCAGTGTTGCAGACATACCACCACTCAAGTACAACGTTCTTGAATGTCCTACAGACATCTTGATGTCTTACAGACATCATTCTCAGAGGACCACCTGCCATCTGTGATTTAACAGTTTTGTGATTATGAAATACACATAAGCACAAGTTCTTAAGTGAAGTATCTGTCAGATTTACCTACACCCCAAAAAACTTTTTGGCTCTGAAGTCTGGCTAAGGAACTAACCAGAAAAGAACCAGCTTCTATACTACAGTGCTCTGCTTCTTTGAATAGCAAATACAGTGCAATCTCAGCAACATGAACTACACAGATATATACTATTTAGTTATACAGTAATAATTTGTTAGTTGCACATCTCTCACCATCTTTTTATTGTATACCTTCCCCTTGTTAGCCGTCACAATTCGACTGTAATTTGTAAATTGTAGCACCCTCACTGTCATCTTTTATTAGAATTTAACATCCATACGTTACTAGCTTTGCTCAATCACACACATAAATGTACTTGCACATAATCACAGAACTGGGCCTTTAAATTACAAAGTTCCTTGATGAAGTGCACTATCTGTCTGTAAGACGGTCTGTAGCAATTCAGGAATTACAACAAATCAACAGCAGATTTGGTCCAAAGGTCACAGAAGTCAATGGAAAAATCTCCTTTGTCCTCTGCAGAATCTGGATTAGGTCCACAGAGCAAAGCTCTGCACTGGTCCTAATGTGGCACCACAGTCATGCAACATCTTATTTACAGCTTGAATTGAGACTAAACCATGCACAGATGAGTTCTTTGTTTACTCTACTTTTACATTTCTGGCACGTTACCAGTTATTGAGACATAAGGGGGGTTGATTCTTAAAGAGCAACTTTTACATGTGTCTTCAAAATGAGCTTTGTTTTCAATGGGAGGAGAAAGACGGTGTGAACAAACTACGTAATTAACATTTCCTGCAACTATTTTCAACTCCTCTCACCATTACTGTTCTGTGCCCCCTCCCACACACTTATTAGCCGTGAACTCTTTGCTAACCCAGTGTAATTAGCATGGGCTGAGTGTTTCCAAGGGACATGTGGTCCCAACAAACCCCTTTATTACTACTTTTAATGACTCATTAGTTGGAAAAAGTTTGAAAATAACATCACCATAGCTGAACTAGAGTCACTGCTTGGCTGGTAACTCAGTTAACATTAACAGCCAACTGCAATTTTAAATCATCAGTCAGGACATTGCTACAAATAAAAACTATGATCAAAAGCAGTCCAGTGGAGCAGCACTGCAGAAGGGATGAACCTGGGTGAGGTCTAGCCTGTACAAAGACATGACACAAAAGATGCAGACAGGGAAACTCTTCTGTTTTTAGGAAATGGATATGTGGACTATCTGCATTAGAGTACAGAAGTCCCACTTCCCTCACAACAAGAACAGCACGAACTCCCTACTCCTACAGGGTAACGAAGGATTCAGGGTGAACACAGAGACCTCTGATAAAAACAGATGGGGAAGCTCCTCGAGAAAAAGAAGTTATCTACCCGCCTTGAGATTACTTTTAGACTTGTGTGAAAACATTTGTGGTTTGTTTTCCTTGATGAAATCACTGCAGCTTAAAAGTCCTAAGAAGGAAACCAAAAGGACATTTATCAGTTATCTGCCAATTCACTTTGCTTACATGAATTGAAGGAGAGTAAAGCAGAATCAGCATCTTGTTAGATCACAAACTGCATTGGTATGCTGGAGCATAATACTGGTTCCTGACAGAGATGGGGCATGGCAGATACTAATGCAACGGAATGATCCTAGCCAAAAGACAAAGCTGGCTCTCGAGTTTATTTCAGCCACTTTGGTTTGAACTGACAGCCTGTGATCCAGACAAGAAAGCAGTATCTCACAGACACACTGGCACAGGAGTGCTGAGTGACTGAAGGAACACCTTCTTTGTGTACTCATAGCTAACTTACAATGCACCTTCCTCACGTTCCCATGAACTGGAAAGAAAGAAAATCTGGACTTAATAAACTGTGCAAATACTCCTGCAAAATTACATGGAGGCAAACTAAGATCCGACCTGTCATACTAAAGGAAGTTAGTTCATTGCCATCTTCTCTCTATAATAGATATCCTAACTGAATGCAATTGAGTACGATGCAGCATAGAAACTTTAATAGCTGGTTGGTATAGGGAAAATGTGAGATTATGACTGGGAAAACTAGGGAA